GGTTTGTTTATTTTTGTTTACATGTTTCAAACTTCTTTACTGTTTTTGCATTTTGGTTCGATTTTAGTATTTTCTGGTGTTTAAAATTGTATCTAACTAGTAAAAATATTTGAGGCTGTTTATATTAAAAATAAAATAAAAATGAAAACAACTCGAATTATTTGGAATTATGTGTATGTAAAATACTTGTTTAATAAAAAGAAGTTTGAAGATGTTTTTTTGTTCCCTGTCAACAACTATGGCTAAATTCGTAGTTAAAATTTTGACTAATTCTCATAGGGGTTATGTAAAAAATAACAGACGAGGTTTTGACTCGTCATCAGTTCTTGAAACAATATTTTGAATAATATATTTTTTTTTTTATTAATAAGCTGAATATTTCCAAGATATATGTTTCATACCCCCTTCTTAATGAACCAAAACAAATGTTTTGCAAAAGTTCAAAATTAATATATATCATTATGTGATGTTAATGTATATAGATTTTTGCTGGAGAAGTGATGGAGATCAATGCAGCATTGGCCCGAGACGACAGGGAGGAAACGAAATATTGGAGTCCAAGAACTTATCCAATCTGCAATGAGACTATTAGATGGGCTGCCTCCATCACCAATACAGTTGGGCCTTTATGGGAGGAATTTGCTTAGTTTTGCAATCATATAGTGTTCCTAATGGAGAATAATAGTCTCCATTTGCAATGATACAGTTCCTCGCCTAAAAACCTCGACATTTCAAGAAAAGTTTGATCTAATTTCCCTTTCGTTTAGCTCATTCACCAAGCAAATCAAGTAGCCTACCATGAGCTCTCTTACCCCATGTTTGAAACGATTACCGGATTGGCTTCAACCCGTTTGTTACAGCGATAAGCCAATGGACCATTATCGATGTGAAATTGAAGTATGACTGCTTTCTAGACTTGTTACCCATATTGTCATGAATGGTTGCGGAAACGAGTTTTGTCAATGATATACAATAGTCTTACTATGTTTTATGTTTCAACAACCAAGGTTCAATTACACTCAGACCAATGAATTTGGGTTCGAGAACCCTTGATCGGGAGTTACCAACCAAGATCGAAGAGATATTATGATTGTAGAATACTTCTTACCCCAACTTGTCATTAAAAGACGATCAAGTGAGTAGGGAATCATATTGAACAAAGCGATCAAGATAATACCCATAAGGACACTAAAATATTTACAATCAAATTAATATATAGCATAAGAAAACAAAGTTGTTTTTCACAACATTG